AGATAGATAGATAGATAGATAGATAGATAGATAGATAGATAGATAGAGCTTTATACTGTGGCAGGAAAAAAAATCAGCATTGATATATATTAATTATTTTTGTTTATACAATTGTTGTGTGACATCACACCTCTTTTGTAGATTTATAAGGTCCTGGTGAGGGGGTGTCATGGAAACAGCTGGATGATTTTCAGAAGATATTCAGATTTCTGCAGGCTCAATGACAAGGTGGGGATTTAAACACTCTAATGTCCTGTTAAGGCCGAGACCTTGGCGATAGACAAAGCTAAGTATACCAATGTTGAATCATATGATGGTGTAAAAATGTATCGGGGAAAGTTTTGAAAGAGTTGATGAGCCAATAGTTCACTTGAAGCACATTCAGTATAAGCCGTAATGTTGTTATTTTAGTTGGGGGGGTTCCACTGATGTTTTTAGATTTCACTTATGTGATATTTTTGCCATCGTTTTTGGATTTCATCATATTATCTATTTCTTTGGTTCAGCTTAAAGAACTGTTTCCCAGCTTTGATTCAACCCTGCCTCCTAAACGCTGCTTCAAAGGCAAGTACAAAGAAGATTTTCTACGGGAGAGGCAGCTGGGACTGCAAACCTTCCTGCATGACCTAATGTTACACAAGCATATCTTCACAAGGTGTGTGCCGTATATTTAATAATTGATTGCCCTGAGTGGTTTTTATTCATTTGTCTTTTATTCCATTGATAAATTGATGTCTCTTTTTGGACCCCAGTGAATCGGTGAGGAGTTTTCTCTCTTTTGCAGATTTTCACAGTCCGTTTGATAGTCTGGAAGAAAGCAGGGTGAGTTCCCTCACACTACTGTTGTCTCGAGGTTGAATGTTTACGCTTTTGTATGGTTGAACACCCGTCTGCTGCTGTGTGAGGTGCAGGCTATTTGTGAAACTCTGGAGGAAACCAACCACCGCCTCCAGAGGGAACTCTTGGAGAAAAAGGAAGAAATTGGCATGTTGAGAAAAACTCTGGAGGAGAGGGAGAATCACATAAATTTGCTTATGAAGAAACTCAGGTGGATATAATTAGATAACCAGCAGAGGCACCTCCAAAGTGCACACTTCACTAATTTTATTTTATTTTTTAACACAGCTTACAGTCACTTTCTTCTGGGAGCTCTGAAAAACCTTGTGAGATGACAAATGCCAAAGACAACAGTAACAGAGACGCTAAAATGGATTTAAGCAGAAAACTTACAAGCGGGGATTTGATATAACAGTGGGATCGAATGAAATTGTAATTCCACAAGCAAATTATGGGTGCTGTTGTGTTTCGGCAGCATAAGCTGATAAATAAAATGGAATGGGTATGAAATAATAAATCATTTGTTTTCCTTTCTCTGAATCATTTCAAACTTTAATATGAATTTAATAAGCTATCAAGCACAGATCAAACAAGAGGATGAGTATCAGTAATGATTCTGCATCTTCAGCACAACTCAACACCGGAAGAATGAAGTTAGCAACATTCAGCTGTTCTGCTTTTGAGTTTTTAAGCAGGAGAAAAACTAATGACCAGAAGGTGGCATTGTTTTCCCAAAAGTAAAGCTGCTACATCATAATCAAAGCCGGGAACAACATGTCCTGCTCTCATCTCACTTAAGGATGACGCCGACTGTGTGGGGAACCTCTGTGGCTGCATGTTTCCCCCAGTTTACATTCATCTAATAATGTCTGTATCTCAACCAAGTTGTCTAATTGACTCAAATTTGAGGAGAATGTGGCAGATTTCATATCTTATCCTGCCCACTGAAGTTATTAGTTCAACATTTTGTTTGAGAGAGTGAAAACAGAGCGTTTGAGTAACTGAAGGACCAACGGCTCTCCATGACTATCCATGGCATGAAAACAACAACAAGGGAACTCTGAGGAGTTTTACTCATGCATGAGTAAAACTAAATCTGGGTTTGAGCAACAGAAAGTAGAGAGTAACATTCTTCCAAAGTTCCAATTGACAGACAAAAATAAGCTCCAGGGTCCATTAAATGTGGATCAGTATTGGATTACTATTGAATTGTTGTTTAGAGATGCTAAAACCTGAGTCAGAACTGTCCCAGTAGTAATTTTTTTTTTTTTAAGTTACTTGAATTAGAGTTATTTGAATTAGTACTTTTTAAAGTGATCAGCAGCCTTTCAATCTCATGGAAATATGACCAATCCACTGAATGAGAAATATTTTGTGTAACTACAATACAGACACAGTATGGAAGCAAATTTTTAGTGTTGTTGCTTTTTTTATTTCTTTGCTAAGGGAATAAGGGGGTAATAAAAATAAAATGATATATACCCCAAGAATTCTGTTTACATATATAATCAGCTGCTTGGTACTGTGATTGTTAATTTTGTAATTCATGGCATTTCTGACCAAGATTCAAACCACATTTGATCAATAATCTACTTAGTTTCTGGGAAAATATAAAACCAACTGGGCTTCATGTGTATTGCTGATAAGCAGAGTAAGTATAGGACTAGAGTTGTAAAGGAAAATAACAAAATGAAGAGTCTTAAGGAAGAGAAATAAACAGGGAAAACGCAAATCCAAGGAAACTGTCCGGTTAAAGGTCACAGTCCAAAGAGGAGGAGCGCTGCCAAGTTATTTAAAAATATCACTCAGACTGTCCAATGAATTCATCCAGAAGTCATTGTTTGTAGAAGTTAAGGATTTAATGGTTGTAATCAACTGGGAGGCTATGAGGGGAGCTACTGGTAGTCCTTGACATTTGACGGTGGGCAGGCACATGAGTGAGCAAATAGTCCATTTGAAATCTTTAGCGGGGACCAACCAAGATACATTAAACTAGTAGGAAACATGGGAAAGAATTTAAAACAAAGAGGGACAGATGTTATAACTGGTGGACATGTTACCCAGAAGAGAATCATGAAGGGTCTTGATAACTAAAGCTATGAAGACAGACATTGTGACAGAGACAAGCAGCCCGTAGGAGCTGCACAGTCATGAGGCTGATGAGCAACAGGTGCAACAGCTGGAAAGCTGGAACCTAGACTCCTTTCAGGGAGGAAAATGCACAGCCCGACAAAGTCAAAGAAGAATTTGTAGGGGAAAAAAACCTACTCTCAAACCACAAACAACCATATCAAGACAATCTACATGTTTTGATGATATCAAAATGTATTTCTGTGTAACAGTAATACCTTCATTTTTGGTCTTCTGTCTTATCTCCTTCTATTCTATTCTATTCTATTCTATTCTATTCTATTCTATTCTATT